ATCGCTTGAGCCCAGGAGTTTGAGGTTGCTGTGAACTAGGCTGAGGCCAGGGCACTCTAGCCGGGGCAACAGAGTGAGACTCTATATCAAAAAAAGACTAAAAGTTGAACATGTCACTCTCTTCTGCTTAGCTCTCAAAGACTTTTCCAACATAGCACTCTAGGAAGCAAGCATTCATTCCCAATCATTTGGAGTTGGCATAAGAAATAAACTCTATTGGTCATTTGTGCTCTTAAATAGAGCATACTAACATCTAAAGTGTGGTACCAGTTTTTGGGGTAAGTCGTGGTAATGAAAATGTATAAATCAATCCATTCTTCACCCTACTAAAGAATTTAAGGCTACATATGATGGCTCATGCCTGTAATCTCAACACTTTGGGAAGCTGAGGTGGGAGGATTGCTTGAAGTCAGGAGTTTGAGACCAACATGGGCAACATAGTGAGAACCTGTCTCTACAAAAAAATAGAAAAATTAGCCAGGCATGGTGCTGCATGCCTGTAGTCCCAGCTACTCTGGTGGCTGAGGTGGGAGGATCACTTTAGCCCAACAGTTTGAGGTTGCTGTGAGCTAGGCTGGCACCACAGCACTCTAGCCTGGGCAACAGAGTGAGACTCTGTCTCAAACAAACAAACAAAAACAACCAAACAAACAACAACAAAAAAACAAAAAAAGAAAGAAAAAAGGCAGAATTTAAGTAAGCAATGTAGAAAAACTTATGGTAAAACGGCAGCTGATTATCAGACCACTTAATACTAGCCAGGCACTGTTCCAAGTGACTTATATGTTATATTCTGACTTAAACCTTACAACATCTCTATGAGGTTGGTATTGTTGCTATTTCTACTTCATAGAGAAAGAAACAGAGGCTAACTTGTCCTTTGTCCAAGGTGACACAGTGGAGCTTACTTAGATTAGAATTCAGAATATCTAGCAATCTCTTCAATAGGAAAGTCCCTCCATGAAATGCATAGGTGATGGGACACAGAATAAAGAGGCTCAGGAAGCCTTTCTTTTGTCATAAAAGGCAAAAAATAGTTTGCCAGCAATCACTATTTTACAGGTTACTATAAAACAAAATTTCTGCCTCTTGACTTCAAAAGGAGCTGAGCTGGTCAGGGTGGCTCTCATGCCTGTAATTCCAACAACTGGGGGGTCTGAGGAAGGAAGATGGCTTGAGGCTAGGAGTTGGAGACTAGCCTGGGTGACAGAATGAAAGATCCCTTCTCAAAAAAAAAAAAGGAAGATATTAGCAGATGATATGACTGAATCATAATGGGGCAATTCTTGCATTCTGCTTTGCTATGAATCTCACCTTTCTAAGCCAAAGCTATCTTTCTTCGCTGAGGTCAAGCAGAAATACTTGATACTCCACTATATCAAACTACCATAAAAATGAGACTTTTAAGATAGAATTGTCATTCAATAAGCTCATCTATAACAGTCATTAAAACATCTCTGAAATTAATTTATCTAAACAGAAAACTCAGATTATGCTATCTTGATAGAATATGAGTTTTGAAGCCCACGTGGTGGCACGAGCCTATAGATCCAGCTACTGGCTAGGCTAAGGTGTAAGGGTCACTTGAACCTAGGAGTTCCAGGCTGTGCACGCCATGGTCGTGCCTGTGAGTAACCACTGCACTCCAGCCTGGATAACATAACTTTGTCTCTAAAAAAAAATTTTTTTTAATGAAAAACAGGCCGGGCGCGGTGGCTCACGCCTGTAATCCTAGCACTCTGGGAGGCCGAGGAGGGCGGATTGCTCGAGGTCAGGAGTTCAAAACCAGCCTGAGCAAGAGCGAGACTCCGTCTCTACTATAAATAGAAATAAATTAATTGGTCAACTAATATATATAGAGCTACTCGGGAGGCTGAGGCAGTAGGATTGCTTGAGCCCAGGAGTTTGAGGTTGCTGTGTGCTAGGCTGACGCCACGGCACTCAATCTAGACTGGGCAACAAAGCAAGACTCTGTCTCCAAAAAAAAAAAAAATTAAATAAATAAAATACAACGACCTTTTAATAAACAATTATTACTAGTGTTAATTAACCCTTTCTCTAAAAAGTAACAAGACAGTAGAAGGTAAACACAGCAATGAACTAAGAAGCTACCAGCCAGTATACTTGAAATTCCTTTCCCAAAACACCGCCCTCTCCCCCTGCGAATGACTACTTGCGTCAACAGCAACACAATCTGAGATTTACAGACACACCATCTGTGGTCCGCATAACAGACTAATGCAGAGTTCTGGCCTGGCCCGCCCAATCCCTACTAGACACAGAAGTAGGCTAAAACTACAGTTGTTAGGGCTCCCATAAGCTTTGCGGTCGGGAAAAGGTCGCTCCCATCAGACAGTGGGAGGGGGAAAAGTTGCAGCCCGCGTCCTCCGCCAAGCGCCACACCACCCTCGCTGCTCACCGATCCTGCTCACCGATCGTATCCACGCGGTGCGTGAGGAGCAGAGTCCGGGAGCCACACCGAGCGGCAGCAGCGGCTGCCTCGGTCCCGGCATGTCCTCCACCAATGACTACCACGTCGAAGTGCGGAGTCCCGGGGGCCGCGCTGTCACCGCAGAACCGGGCCACCCGAAGGTGCTGTTTGACGAGGGAAGCCGCGGCCCAGCGGCCACAGCCTCGGACGGAGAACATGTTGGGAGAAAAATCGCTATGTGACTTTGAATCTGACAGGAGCGAGGCACAAAAAACTTAGGCGACGAGACAAATTCTGCAGGGCGCAGCCATCTTGCCCTAATACCGCGGCGTAAGGCGTATACGTCCAGCGTCGCTGCTGATTGGCCGTTTGGCGCGAGGTTCCCGGCGCGGGGAGACGCGGCGACGGCGCCGGTGGTCTGCGTCGTGGGTGCCTTCTTTCCTGGCCCATGTGAGCTTTTCGGTTTCCTGTGGCTCTGGGTGGGTGGCTCCTACTGAAGATCGTCTTTTGTCCTTTCTCAGGCGTTGCCGTCCTTATCGCCAGGTGGCTACCACGAACAATGGATTTGATCACTTTGCCTTATCAGATTCTTCTGATACACTGTCCTCCTCTTCACTTCTGTTTGTTTGTAAAAACTGGAGTCTTAAAATAGGAATAGATTTGAGGCCAGGCTGGCGCGGTGGCTCACGCCTGTAATCGTAGCGCTTTGGAAAGCCGAGGCGGGAGGATTACTTGAGGTCTGGAGACCAGCCTGAGCAAGAGCGAGACCCCATCTCTATAAAGAGTAGAAAAAACAAAAAAAATTAGCCCTGCGTCGTGGCACGTGCCTGTAGTCTCAGGTACTCAGAAGGCTGAAGCGAGAGAATCGCTTAAGCCCCGGAGTTGGAGGTTGCCGTGAGTTATGATGACACCGCCACACTTTAGCCCATGCGACAGGGCGAGACCCTTTCTCAAAAATAAAATAAAATAATAAAGTAAATTAAAATAAAATGACTTGAGAGGAGTTCAAATATATTTGTGGATGAAAGATTCTTGAGGGTTATTTAGGAGAATTGGACGATTGGAGGTTAAGCACATTTGACTGGATAGTGTAACAGTGACAGTTTTATTGTCCTGATTATTAAAATTATCATGTAAGTAACAGTGGCAGTTTTATTGTCCTGATTGTTACAATTATCTTGTACATAAATTTTGTTGTTATTACATTAGTAATAAACGTTCTTTACACACAATTTAAGCCTTACATAACAGGTTAACCCTCTAAAATAAATAAATAAATAAATATATATTTTACAGAAAAGAACCTATAACTTCCACCATGCCTTCCATCCCCACACCATCAGTAGCCGCATCTTGTTGCTAACACCTCCTGATTTTCTAACACTAATGCTACTATTATTTTGTATATATAATGCTGTGATTATACTGTTTTGCAATTTGCTTGTTTCCACTTAACAATGTATTTTTTGATGGCTTTCCATGCCATGCCAGTATACATGAATCTCACTTTTTAATGTTATATAGTATTCAATTGTATATGTGAACCATGATTTATTTAATCAACTACAATTAATGAGCATTTGGATTGTTTCTAATTTTTTTTTTTTTTTTTTTTTTTTTTTTTTGGGACAGAAAGTCCTCCGCTTTGTTTGCCCCAGCTAGAGTGGAGTGCCGTGCGCATGCCTAGCTCACAGAAAACCTCAAACTCCTGGGCCTGCAAGCAATCCTGCTGCTCAGCCCTCCCGAGTAGCTGGGACTACAGGGCATGGTCCCCTATGCCCGGCTAAATTTTTTTTTCTATATAAACTATTAGTTGGCCCAAATTAATTCTTTCTATTTTATATGTAGAGACGGGGTCCTCACTCTTGCTCAGGCTTGGTTTCGAACTCCTGACTCGAGCAATCTGCCCACCCTCCGCGCCTCCCAGAGGGCTAGGATTACAGGTGTGGGGCCCGGCTAAGGGGCTTTTTTTTAACTGATTATTTTTTATTGAGATGTAATTCACATACCACAAAGTACACCCTTTAAAGTCTTCAATTCAGTCACTTTTAGTACATTCACAAAATTGTGCATTGATCACCACTAATTGCTGTTTGACTTGAATTATACTTGTTGGGGCGCGGTGCCAACGCATTAAGGATGGCCGCCCACTGTTCCCTGGCACAAACCCTTAACTGTGCCCTCTGAACAAACAAATGTTTCAGCGCATGTCAAAGCCCCTTACCCTCTCCTGTTCCGTGTACCAATCAGGGGTTAATGCCCGTGTTAATTACGTTCCTTTATAAGCAGCCCCCCGACGAACTCTGCGTCATTTCCGCCATTGTACTAGCCCCTTAAGCAATCCATAAAGCGCTGTTCCATAAAGAATACTCCGGTTGCCCCGCGTCCCTCCCCTTGCTGGGGAGGGCGGGCCGACAATTAACTTTAAAAATAATGGAAAAAGCCCGGCGTTGGGTGGCCCCTCCGCCTATAATCCCTACTCCTTCTGGGAAGACTCGAGGCCCGGGGTGGATGGACTCAAGGTCAAAGTTTCCGAAACCCAGCCCCTGAACAGAGCAAACCGCCTCTACTATAAAATTAAAAGAATTAATGGCCCAACTAATATATATGAAAATACCAGCCCCGGGCTGGGGGCACAATGCCTGTAAAGCCCAGCGAACTGGGGAGGGCTGAAGCAAGGAAGGTTTTTTGCTGAGCCCAGGAGTTTTGGAGTGCCTGTGAGCTAAAGGTTGACACGCACGGCACTCCACTCTAGCCTGGGCAACAAAGCGAGACTCTGTCTCAAAAAAAAAATGGAAAAACAGAAATGTAATTTTTGTCCAATAAATACCACTTGATCCTCATGCAGTTTTCTTGCAGAAAGCAAAGCCCATGATTTTAGAATGATGACAGGAATTTAATGAATCCAGTTTTTACCTATTTCAAAATTTCAGCAAATTTCCCTTGACATCTGTTTTAAGGATATTCTGGAACTATGGAATTATCAATTCAAAGGACTTGTTCTTTATTTGGCCAGAATGATCTGCCACTTTTAGCATCACTGCAAAGGTTTGAACTCACAGCCACACCCAGTTTCCACTGCAAATCTACAAGCTGGTTGGTCAACTGGAACTTAGCATCCAGCAGTGGCTCAAGAACCCCTTCCATGACAAGCATCCAGGAATCCCACCGCTGACTAGAGAAGATGCCAAGAGGATTCTTAATGGTTAAATTTTTAATAAATTGCTAAATTACTTTCCAAAAACTTTGTATCAGGTTGCAATAACAGTGTATAAGATTATTTCCCCACACTGCAGCCAGTATTGGATATTGGATTTTTTTTTTTTTTTTTTGAGACAGTCTCGCTCTGTCACCCAAACTTGGAGGGTGCAGCGGGTGATATCATAGCTCACAGCAACCTCAAATCCTGGGGCTCAACAATCTCCGCCAGCCCTGCAGTAGCTGGGACTTGTAGGAGTGTGCCACCACACCCAGCTAATTTTTTCTGTTTTTAGTTGCCCACCTAAATTTTTTCTACTTTTTTTAGTAGAGACAGGGTCCTGCTCTTGCTCAATCCAGAACTTCTGACCTGAAGGGATCCTCCCACCTGGGCCTCCAAGAATACTAGGATTATAGGCATGAGCCACTGTGCCAGGCCAGTATTGGATTCTTTTTTTTTTTTTCTTTTTTTTGAGACAGAGTCTTTGCTTGTTGCCCAGGGCTAGAATAGTGCCCTGGTGTCAGCTAGCTCACAGCAACCTCAAACTCCTGGGCTCGACGGTTGAATCCTTCATGCCTCAGCCTCCCAGTAGGCTGGGACTATTTAGCATTGCCCACCATGCCTGGCTAAGTTTTTTTTTTTTTTTTTTTTTTTATTGTTATTTTTATTTTTTTTGAGACAGAGTCTCGCTTTGTTGTCCAGCTTAGGGAGGTGGAGTGCCGTGGGGGTCAGGGGCCTAGCTCACAGGCCAACCCACACTCCTGGGCTCGGACATCCTTTCTGTCTCAGCCTCCCGAGGTAGCCCTGGACTACAGGCATGGCGCACCGATGCCCGGCACTAATTTTTTTTTATATACATATCAGTTGGCCAATTAATTTCTTTCTAGTTTATAGTGAGGGACGGGGTCTCGCTCTTGCTCAGCTGGTTCGAACTCCCTGACCTTCGAGCAATCCGCCCGCCTCGGCCTCCAGAGAGCTTAGGATTACAGGCGTTGGGGAGCCACCGCGGCCCGGCCTGGCTAAGGTGTTTTTTCTATCATTTTCTGTTGGTCAATTAATTTCCTTCGGGTATTTATAGTAGAGGACGGGGTCTCACTCTTGCCAGCCTGGTTTTTTTTTTTTTTTTTTTTTTGAGACAGAGTCTTGCTTTGTCACCCAGGCTATGATGTGAGGTGCCGGGTGGGCGGTCGCCCTTAGCTCACAGCAACCTCAAACTCCTAGGCCTCAAGCAGCTCCTCCTGCCTCAGTGGCCTTCTCCGGGGAGTAGCTGGCGACTACAGGCATGTGCACCGATTGCCCGGCATATTCTATTATGTATTAGTTGTCAATTAATTCTTCCGTACTTATAGTGAGATGGGGTCCGCTCTTGGCTCAGGCTGCGTTCGAACTCCTGACCTCAGCTAATCCACTCGCTCGGCCTCCCAGGATGCTAGGATAAAGGCGTGAGCACCGCGCCCGGCCTTTTTTTAGGGGCTGTTTTTGAACTTCCTGACTCGGGTAAAGCAATCCTCCTGCCTCAGCCTTTTCCAGACTGCTAGGATTACAGGCTATGAGCCACCGACAAAAACCTGGCCTTTGTCCACTTGGGTTCCTTAGGTAGGAGTTGAGTGCCCGGGTATCAGCCTAGCTCACAGTCAACCTCTTATATCTGTGTCTATATGTCTCTTATTGTTCCTTCTG